CCGAGGGGGAGTCGACAAAACCTTATTTATCAAAAGGTCAGGTAAGCATATTACAATTGCTCAGGTTTATGTTGACGATATTATCTTTGGTTCCACTGAAACAGGTGCTACAGATCAACTGGTTCAAGTCATGCAACAGGAATTCGAAATGAGTATGATTGGCGAATTAACCTACTTTCTAGGACTACAAGTCCAACAAACCAATGAAGGTATTTTTATATCTCAAGAAAAATATGCAAAAGGCCTGCTAACAAAATTTGGACTTGAGTCAGCCAAAGAAGCAAGAACGCCAATATCTACAACTACAAAATTAAGCAAAGATGAATCAGGGAAACCAATTGATCCTACTCTATATAGAAGCATGATCGGGAGTCTTCTGTATCTGACAGCCAGTCGTCCAGAAATTATGCTCAGTGTTGGAATTTGTGCCAGGTTTCAAGCAGCTCCTAAAGAATCACATCTTAAAGCCGTAAAAAGGATAATAAAATATGTCAAAGGTACTCTCAATTATGGCATTTGGGTTTCAAATGATACTAATCTGAATCTTGTAGGATACAGTGATGCCAACTGGGCTGGAAACGCAGATGATCGCAAAAGTACATCTGGTGGTTGTTTCTTTTTGGGAAAGAACTTAGTTGCCTGGCTAAGTAAGAAGCAAAACTCAATATCTCTCAGCACAGCTGAAGCTGAATACATCGCAGCGGGTAGTTGTTGTACTCAACTCCTATGGATGAAGCAGATGCTCCAAGATTATGGTCTACATCAAGAGTACATGACACTATACTGTGACAACACTAGTGCGATCAACATCTCCAAAAATCCAGTTCAACATTCCCGAACTAAACATATTGAAATAAGGCATCATTTCATAAGAGAATTGGTAGAAGACAAGGAAATCAACCTGGAGTACATTTCAACAGAGAAAAATCTAGCGGATCTGTTTACAAAGCCTCTTGATAACACAAGATTTGAGTTACTGCGTGCTGCTCTCGGGGTGTGCAGGTTTTCAATCTAAGTTTGTTTTGTGACTCAAATAATGTTTGTTTTTGTTCTTTTGTTTTTGTGTTATTTCCTTCTTTTTCAGATTTACTCCAGAAAATCCTCCAGATATGATTTCTGCTCCAGTACGCTCACCAGACCGGGAAATAAGCCTCTTTGACCGCACTAAATAATAATTTTTTTTATTATTAATTGTTTCTCTCTCTTAGCTGTTATACACCACCGGTTCTTCCCCAAATTTATAGAATCTAATCCCTAAAATTACTCTCATTTACCTTTAAAATCTTTTCTACCCAAATCTTCGAATCCTTGCAAATATTCTCTACTCAATCGATCTGATTTGCTCCTGTCTTTCTCATGGCTAGTCATTCTGATCTTAATCCATTCCTTTTCTACCTCACGGAAGATGAGCGCCTAGATCTCTATCGTCAAATTCTTCGGGGAACAGCTCCGATCTCGGACATCTCTGCTCGCCGGGTTCTCGCAACACTTCTTCGACACCCATCTCTGATGGAGGAGTTGTCTGTGAAGGACTCTAAGGAGATCTTTTCAAGAGCATCAGGGATCACGGATGACCCATGGCCACTTGATGAAATCTTAGACGAGGAGCTTCTTCAAGGAGAACTTCGGGCTCGGCAACTACGGGCTCAATCTACGGTTTGGTTTCTCTAATCTCTTAGGGAGCAATATCTAATTGCTTGTTAATTAGGCATGCATCGCATTTTTATGCTTTCATTTGCTTTTTTAGCCTTGATTATCTATGGTCGAGTTTATTATGCCTAAACACTGCTTCTTGCTTTGATTTTTTATGGTCTGTTAGTGTTGAGATTGTGCTATTGCCTTGTGAAATTAGGACCCTTCTGCTGGTCTGTCTATTGTGCCTCTGTCTGCAATTCCCTTCAGAGGTTCCCAACTTCAAAACACAGACAAGGCCACTTCCAAAAAGGCTGAGCATTCGCATGATCCAGTCACAACTCCAGCCTCAGATCCAGTTATAAATAATCCTGTCTCTGTTCCAGGATCTGTTCCAGATGATGTTGAGGTTTCGATTCAGGACATAGTCTCTGAGCCTGAGGATCCATCCATTCAAGCAGCCATCATCTCAGACACCATTGCAAATATGCCAAACACTGCCCGTGCTGAAACGGCCGTTCCAGTTATCAGGGTGCCGTTTACAAAGGCCAAAGGGAAAGCCAAAATCACTGATCCAGATGAAGCACCTGCAGCAGCTCCAGTGGCTAAGAGAAAGCTTCACATGTCCGAGGATGTTGAATTTGTCTCTGAATCTCGTCCTAGCAAACGGTCTGAACATCGGCCTACGGGTCTTGCTCAGCGTACACGATCGAAAACTGGCGTGTCTACTCCGGCTCCTCCTCCAGCTTCTGCTCCAGCCTCTGCTCCTATTTCAAAGACAGCTGCATCATCCAAGTCCAAGACTGCTAAGGTGTCCAAGGAGACCTTGTTCAGACCTATCTTGCTCTCCCCTGCATTGGAAACAGTATGGCAGCAGCACTCAAATCGCGATATCTTGGTTGAGAAAAATTTTAGTATTGAATACCTCATTCGCGTGTGCAATATCATTCCTTTGCTTAGAGCTCAGAATCTTCTTCAAACCATCCAGAATGTGGGCGCTTACTCTGCCTGGCTTATCCCAGAATTCTACGCCAATCTCACGTCTGATTCTCTTTGACCGGCCTCTCCACATTATCATCAAGTTTTTCTCCGGGATACTTGGTATGATTTTAGCCCCTCTATTATTAACACTTATTTTCAGCGTGATGCGTGTGATGATCTGTTTGATCCTGCTGGGGACTTTCTTGCATCCCATCTTACACACAATGAGATCAACGTTTGGCCAAAGGATGGCCTGCCTTCGAATGTACTTACTGCAGTCTATTCGGTTCTCTTTCGCCTAGCTTCTAGCAATTGGATCCCTAATGTTTCTGTGCACACTGTGAATAAGAAGATGGCCTCTCTGTTATACAAGGTTCGACATCAGCTACCTATTGATCTTGGTCATCTCATCTATCATCACATCATGGGTTTTTCCAAGAAGAAAGAAGCCAAGATTCATCTACCATTTCCTTGCCTTATCACGGGTATCTTGCAACAACAAGGGCTTCAACTCTATTCCAATGAAGAGCTCTGTCATGTTACTCACAAGACCTCTATGGACTCTCGCATCTTCCAAAAATCCCACTTTGATGATCGGGCTACTCTCTCCTCAGTTCCATCTGTCCCTGCTCCAGAGAATACTCCAGCAACTGCCATGGCTTCTGCATCGACTACTTCTGCTGCTGACTCTGCTTCGACTCTGGCTGTTCTCAAACAGCAAGTTACATTTCTCGCTTCACACATTGCCACGATGAAAGATGCCTCTCTTGCCATTCAATCTTCAATCTCTACTGCTGAGGCTCAGATGCTTCGTGTGACTCGCCAGATTGCCACTATTGAAGCTGCTCCTACTGATGCTCCTGCTGGTGATGACGAAGACTTGGAGACCTCCTCCTCTTCCACCCAGTCCTGATGTTGCTCTTTGACCATTAGATTGACAAAAAGGGGGAGTGCACTTAGTAAGGGGGAGTACGTAGTAAGGGGGAGTACGTTTGTTTTTTAACTTAGCCATAAGTGCCAGTGAATAATGTGGTGAATAATGTGGTGTGCTCTACCGTTGGTTGTCTTTGCTTTTATATGTGTTAATGTGCTACGTGTTTTATCTTGACTATGTGATAAATGATATGCAGCTATATTATGTGATATATGTGTTCTGTGTTTTCTTGTGATCATGTGTTTGTATGCCTTAATTGTGTTTGATCTTCTCTGGCACAACATTGGTTAAGTTTAAAGAGGGTGTGTGTGTCTAGCTACTCTTGTCTAGTGACTAATCCGATTTCTTTTGTATAGATTATTCATTTGGCAATTCATTTTAAAGCCGATGATATCTTTTAGTAGTTTTGTCAACTAATAGCCAAAGGGGGAGATTGTAAGTGTAAATATATTGCACATTTAAACCTCTGTTTTATTGGCTTAGATTAGTTGTCAAAGTAGTCCTGGATTAGTCACGGCGTCTGGAGCAGTTGACTGGATCAGCGCACGGAAGTATTCCAGGAGATATAAAGCTTATTCAAAAGTACCTATTCAAGACCCTATAAATAGGGAGATCTACATCTAATGAAGCAGCCGAATTCTAGGAATGGAAGAGTGCATGTTTTGAGGATCAAAACAGCTTTGACAACCTATATAATGCTACCTTAATTAGCATTCAAATTGCGCACTCTTACACAAGGTCTTAAGCAGAAAATCTTGGTGCATCTATACCAAATATAATCTGTATTGTTGTGTGTGAAGAAGATCTTGCAATCAGATCATGAAGAAATGAAGAACGCCTGCACATCGGATCCACTGGAGTAGGTTCTGGAGTAGTTATAGGTTATACTGTAGAGTGTAATTAACTATCCTCTTGTACTCCGTTTTTCATCATAGTGGATTTGGGTTGATATGAGTGGCCCCGCAGACGTAGGAGTGAGGCTCCGAACTGCGTGAACATATCCTGGTGCATGCTTTCTTTTACTGCTATTTATTTCATGTTCTTTATTATATCAGGAATGGGTTGTCTTCTAGTCCAGCTCTATAATTGAAATAAATTAAAGGTTTTAAAGGTTATATCTTGCATTCAAGACTCACGTGCTTTTTCAGGGGGTTTTGGGACATGGCAGTGGGGGAGTTTTGGGACATGGCAGTGGGGGTGGTTTGGGACATGGCAGTGGGGGTGTCTCGGGTTTGGGCAGTGGGGGTGCTTCGGTTTTGGGGGGTGTGGGGGTGGATGGGGTGGATGGGGTTGAGGGTGTTGTGCCGGTGATTGTGGTGGGAGAACAGAAAAGACGGAGGGTGGAGGGGAATGGCGCTGTGGTGAGTGTGGAAGAGGGTGAGATGGATTGTGATGTGGCCTTGACAAAAAACGGATTGGGGGCGGGTCTTGCGGAGCAAGCCCGCCGAGAATTATGAGTCTGATCTCTTGGAATTGCCGGGGGCTTGGCAACCAGTCGGCAATTCGTGTGTTAGCGGACCTTGTTCGCACTAAGAGGCCGAGTGTGGTTTTTTTGATCGAGACTTTTGTTGGTAAGCAGCGGATGGAGGATGTGAGAGTACAGGTGGGGTTTGATTGTGTATTTACTGTGGAGGCGGATGGTCGGAGTGGGGGTTTAGCGATGTTATGGATGAATACCGTGGATTTGACAATAACGGGATACTCGGCGAATTATATTGATTGTGAGTTACGATTGGATGTTGGTGCCCCCTCATGGCGTTTTACTGGTTTTTATGGGTTCCCACAGCGACACCGTAGGCGGGAGGCTTGGCAGTTATTGCGTACATTATCATCACGGTCGACTCTACCGTGGGTGGTGATGGGGGATTATAATGATCTACTAGATCAGTCTGAGAAGAGGGGACGGGCCCCGCATCCGCCTTGGTTGATAAACGGGTTTAGGGAGGCTATTGCGGACTGTGATTTGCTGGATTTTCCTTTTGATGGGCCACAGTTTACTTGGGTTAAATCACGGGGCACGAGTGGTATGATTGAGGAGAAGTTGGACCGAATTTTAGCGAACGAGGAGTGGTTAAATCAGTTTCAGGGCGCACGGGCACAGTCTCTGGTCGTCCCTTACAGTGACCATTTGCCCATGGTTCTTACACCGGTTATTCTCCCGCGGGTCCGGAGGCGAGCCAGGTTTTGTTTTGATAATTTGTGGCTTCGGGAAGACTCATGTAGAGAGATTGTAACACAAAGTTGGGACAGGACGGTGGGCCTAGATACATTAGCAAGGGTGGAGGCATGTGCACTTGATTTGAGGAGGCGGGGCGGACTTATAATAGGGATTTTCAGCGGAAGATTGAGTTTAACAAGCAGCGCTTGGTATGGTTGAGAGGGCGTCGTGATGAGCCCGGGGTGAGAGAGTATGATGCGGTGGAGAGAGAGTTGTTCTTCTTGTTGGAGCAACAACATTATTACTGGAAGCAGCGGGCTAAGGAGTTTTGGTACCAAGGCGGGGATGTTAATAGCAGGTTTTTTCACAATTCTGTGAAAGCTAGACGCCGACGTAATATAATCAGACGTCTCCAGGATGAGAATGGGAATTGGGTGGAGGATTCAGAGGGGTTAGATAATGTAATGTTGAATTATTATACTGGACTGTTTACCCCGGACTATGGAGAGATGCAGGAGGTTATTGATGCAATTCCTGCGAAGGTAACTGAGGTTGATAATGTTATGCTGTTGCGCCCGTTGAGTATGGAGGAGGTGCGTGCTGCGGTGTTCCAGATGCATCCGGATAAGTCTCCGGGTCCTGATGGTTTTGGACCGGGGTTTTTCCAATATTTCTGGGATATTGTAGGGGGGGCGGTAACGGCTTTTTGTAGAAGCTTCTTGGAGACGGCCAAGCTCCCGCGTAGGGCTAATGATACCCTTGTTGTATTGATTCCAAAGAAGGCCAGGCCAGAGACTATGAAAGATTTACGCCCGATTGCTTTGTGTAACGTCATCTATAAGGTGGCGGCGAAGGTATGTGCAAACCGTCTAAAGCCCTTGTTGCATAAGTTAATATCATGTGCTCAAAGTGCCTTTGTCCCGGGGCGTTTAATTACTGACAATATCATGCTTGCCTATGAGGTCCACCACTTTTTGAAACGTAAGACCCAGGGACGTGAGGGGGTGGTTGCGTTAAAGCTTGACATGTCGAAGGCCTATGATCGGGTGGAGTGGGAGTTTCTAAGGGCAGTGCTGCTTAAGATGGGGTTTGGTGGTGGTTGGGTTGATAAATTGCTTGAAACTGTAACCTCAGTTCGGTATCACATCTTACATGATCAGCGGCATTTGGGACCAGTTTTACCAGGAAGGGGCCTTCGACAGGGGGACCCACTTTCCCCGTATCTGTTCCTTTTTGTGGCTGAGGGTTTGAGTGCGATGATCGAGAGAAGCATGTCTGCGGGCCGTTTGCATGGGGTTTCGGTCGCTAGGGGGGCTCCATCCATCTCTCATCTCCTTTTCGCAGATGATTCATTCCTCTTTTTACGGGCTAATGAGGCCGAAATCATACAAATGAGGTATGTACTTGATACTTACGCCAAAGCTTCTGGTCAACATATAAATTATGATAAATCAGCTGCATGTTTTAGTGCTAATGTCCCACAGAACAAAAGGAATGAGGTTGTTGATATTCTCGGAGTGGAGGAGGGTGATACGAGTGGGAAGTACTTGGGGTTGCCATCCCTAGTGGGGAGGAGGAAGAAGGCTATTATGGGTTTCTTGAAGGACCGTATACTCACCAGGGTCCGTTCTTGGAATGTCAAGTTCTTGTCTAGAGCTGGGAGGGAGGTGCTTTTGAAGAATGTTTTGCAGGCTATGCCTGCTTATGCAATGATGGTGTTTTTGCTCCCCTTGGGCCTATGTCGGGAAGTGGAGGTAATTCTGAATCAATACTGGTGGACTGGCAGTGTGGGTAGTAGTCGTGGGATCAGATGGCGTTCGTGGGAGGGTCTGTCAAGGCCCAAAGCATGTGGCGGGATGGGCTTTCGGCGTCTACATGAGATGAATAAGGCGTTACTGGGAAAACAGGCGTGGAGGTTAGTAACGAACCCTACAAGTCTAGTGACCTGTGTGTTTAAAGCTCGATACTACCCTGACTGTGACTTCTTTGATGCTAGGGAGGGCAGCAACCCATCCTATGTTTGGCGGGGTATGCTAGAGGTAAAGGGCTGTTTGGAGGAGGGCTGTAGGAGGGTCATTGGCGATGGCAAAGGTACTATAATTGGCAGGGATCCGTGGCTTCCTGTGGATAGCAGCCCGTATGTGGAAACGGAGCTGCATCAGACGGTTTATGAGGCGCCGGTGGCCTCCCTGATGGATTTGAACGGTAATGGATGGGATGTGGAATGTGTGAAAGATATTTTTAATACCCGCGATGCTAATATAATCTTGAATATTCCTGTCAGTAATCGGAGGCCTCATGATCAATGGTTTTGGCAATGGGAGCAGAAGGGAGTTTATTCGGTCAAGTCATGTTATAAGCAGCTTACGAGGGAAGCTGCGAGTGACCGCCCATGGGCAAGTATTTGGAACTTGCAGGTCCCACCTAAGGTGAAGAGTTTTTGTTGGCAGTTAGCGTCCCACTATCTTCCCACACGTGATATTTTGTTAACTAGGAGTGTTGCATGTTTGGTGGATTGCCATATGTGCAGGCAGGTTCAGGAGTCGGCAATGCATCTTTTTGTCCAGTGTGGGGAGGCAGTTCGGCTATGGAACAGGTTAGGGATGCCGCATGTGTGCAGCTATGACGGTAATCATCTGGGTGACTGGTTCTTTTGGGCTCTAGGCACTTTAGATTTGATTGCTAAGCCTAGGTTTGTGATGGCTTGTTGGGGTGTGTGGTCCAGTAGGAATGAGAGTGTTTGGAGGGGTGCAGGTTTTGATTTATCTACTATGCTGCATAGGTCTATGGCGTTTCTGGAATGTCGGAGAGATGCTAATGAAAAACTTCTGGATGGTGCTGGCCACAGAAACACACTTGCCGTGGCCACATGGGCAAGACCGGCGCAGGGAAGGCTCAAGCTTAATACTGATGCTGCGTTAAGGGAGGCGGATAATGCTATGGGGCTCGGATGGGTCTTGCGGGATGATGGTGGTAATTTCCTTGCTGCTAAGAATGTCAGAGTACCCGGGCTGTATACGGTTAGGGAGGCGGAGGTGCTTTCTATACGGGAGGCGTTGAGTTGGCTGAAGGGTACTGGTCTGGGTGCTGTAGATGTGGAAACAGATTGTATGATTGTTTTTAATGCTTTGATTTCGGATTCTTTTGTTTCTGTTTTTGGCTACTTAGTTGATGATGTAAAGAGCTTGGCATCTGAGATTGAGGATGTGCGGTTCTGTCATGTTAAGCGATCTGCGAATTGTGCTGCCCACACTGTTGCTGGGGAGGCCTTTTCTGTGTCAGGTTGCGGAGAGTGGTTGGATGACCCACCTGCTTTCCTTGTTGACATTCTTGATTCTGATTTAATGAATTAATCTTTCTCTTTCAAAAATATTATTGTGTGCATTTGGCTAGTATTATTTGAAAAAAAAAAAAAAAAAACAAAATTGTGACCAAGTAATGGTCACTTATAGAAACATTAAGATTAGTGACACAAATTTTGCCACTATTTTTAGTATTTCAGTGACAAACACGCTACCAGTATTTTTAAATATATTAGTAACAAAGAAGATGGCTACAAGAAATTAATTATTTGCTACCACTTTTTAGGTCACTGATAATCATTTTGTGTCAAGAACAATTCTCACAAATAAGTATAACTATTGTGACTAAATTGTTGTCACAATAAAATAATTAATTGCGACGATTTTAGTTGTCACTAAATCAATTTTTTGTAATAACATATTTGGTCACAAATTATACATTTATTGTGACAACTATCGTTATCACTTGAATACTACTTTTAGTCTAAGTAAATATTGTCACAAAAGATTGAGTAATTGTGACAACTTTTCAAAAGTCGTCACTACTACAATAGTGACGGAGGATATAGTGACGACAGGTGACGACTTCAAAAATTGGTCACTAATTTCAATAGTGACCAAAAATGATAGTTTCGGTGACAACTTCTGTTGTCACTAAATGTGAAATTTCTTGTAGTGAATGTACAGTTATGGAATTATGAACACATAGCTCTGACATTATGAACTTACAATATGAACATATAGTGATAAAATTATGAACATAGAGCTCTAAAATTGTGAACATAGAGTTTCGAAAATTATGAATTTACAGTTATTGAATTATGAATGTACAGTTACGGAATTATGAATGTACAGTTATGCAATTATGAATGTACAGTTATGCAATTATGGACACAGAGCTCTGACATTATGAACTTACAATTATGAACATATAATGATAAAATTATGAACATATACTCATATAACAAAGTGATATGAAATTTAAAAAAAAAAAAAAAAAAGTGGAAGAGAACGGTGCCAACGGTGCCACTTTTGGCACCGTTACCGTGTCCAGCATGGGTCCATAGCATAACGATTGTATGCTAGTCCACTATCTAAACAGGCAATTGTTATAGTTATGGATCGTTATGCTGTGCATCCGTGTGCACCATGCATGGTGCATACGGATGCAAAAACAATGTCGTTTTTGACTAAAAACGCGCGTCCCACTTTTTAAAAAAAATAAAAAATAAAAATCAGTTTCGATTCCCCTCAACAGCATTATGTTGTTCATTGATTCTGGATTTTTAGTTCATTGATTCTGGATATTTAGTCGTAAATCGAAACTGATTTTTTTTTATTCATGCTGGATATTTAGTTCATTCATTATGGATATTTAGTTCATTCATTATGGATTTTTAGTTCATTCATTATGGATTTTTAGTTCATTCATCCTGTATTTTTAATTCATTCATTATGTATTTTTTAGTTCATAGATTCTGGATTTTTAGTTCATTGACTCTGGATTTTTAGTTCATTGATTCTGGATTTTTAATTCATTGATTCTGGATATATAGTTCAAATTATGCACAACATAATACTGTTGATAGGAATCGAAACTGAAATCTTTTTTTTTTTTAAAGTGGGACGCGCGTTTTTAATAAAACGACGTCGTTTTTTGCATTCGTATGCACCATGCATGGTGCACACGGATGCACAACATAATTTGCCTATAGTTATATTATGGACAATGGTTCATCTTGCATTGTGAATCTTATTTTAAAATGTTATTCAGATTATATATTTAATTTACTGTAAAGATATTATGTATCTTCAATTAATAAATTATATACTTTTTACAATTAATATATTGTATACTTGCTATTAACATATTAATAAATTATGTACTTATTAAAGGTTCATTATTTGATATACGGAATATCAAATAATAAATCTTCAGTACACAAATAATGTACATTGAGTATATTATATTAAAAATGAACATTTATTCATGATTCAGTGATTCACATTGCACTCAAGACCATGATTCATAATATAATTGCCCATTGATTTTGTACATATTGATTTTTTAATTAATAAATTGATGGTTAAAAAAAAAGAAAAAAAAAAGAAGAGAGAATAGAACTATAAAAAGTCTACATATTACTATTAGATTTGCTTATCACCTAACGAACATGGGGCACTTGAATAAATGAGAATATTACCTTTTTGGATGTAAAGAGCCTTAAGATCAGACAACATAAATTACAAGAGGTACGTTTGTCGCCCAAGTAATAGTAGGTGTACATGATCGATTTTTAGATTTTTGTGCCCTGTTCTGATTAATAAATGAGGTCCTACTAAAATTACAATTTTTAAAATTAATATCGTAATTTTTTCTAATAATAATAATACTAATAATAATAATAATAATAAGGTGGTAAAATATTATTGTGCGCAAAGAAAAAGCCAAAAGACATATTATAGAACAACAACAACAAAAAAAACAACAACAACAACAACAACAACAACAACAACAACAACAACAATAATAATAATAATAATAATAATAATAATAATAATAATAATAATAATAATAATAATAATAATAATAATAGTGTGCGGAAACTCGCAATGCAAAAGAATTAAAAAAAATAAGGAGATGTCTGAAGCTATAACAACACACAAGTGTCAAACCTTTGACCTACAAGTTAAAATACAATAAACACACATTCCTATCATTTCTTCATGATGCCTTTTAAATTTAATTGAAAACTTTTAGTTTTTATTTCTAAACTAGCTAGGTAAAATTAAATATTGGACTTTTAAAATTTGGGGTCCTGTGCTGTAGCCCAAAATCCAGCTCTGTACGTGTCGAAATCGGAGAGATTTTGGCGCGGCATGGATGCAGGAGAGATGGCGGCGGCACATATTTAAACACATGCACATGGTCGGATGAAAATAGTAAGATTTAGGGTGTGTTTGATTTGCACATGGGAATTGAAATTAAAATGAAAGTAAAATACTTAGTAATGGTAATGACTAATGAGTTTGGTAAAAGTATTTTGTGTTTGGTAGTAGAGTGAAATTGGAAGGATTATTAATATTGGCATTTCGTTGTGTATGACCGTATAATAGAAATAAATATTTAAAAAATACAAAAACAAAAATCAAGACAGTTGATTCTAGTATAATAAAATCCAAGGCATCATTATTAACAAAAAAATTAAAATAAACTAAAATTTAAAAATACTAATCTAAATTTAAAAATTAAATCGCCAATAAGATGAAAATGATATCCATTTTTAATTATGTCATTCAATATTCCAAATGTATGCAATTTCGAATTAAAGTTATCAAATCCTATAAATGAAGCACACCCTTAATTTGCTGGAGATGGAAGAAACTAAACAATAAGGCAGCCACCGTTAACGTAAAAATTAACCACCTTCACATGCTAAATATTCATTCCCCTTTTTTATTGAAGCATTTAATATTCAATATTCTTTTTTAAATATTTTAACATAAAAATGATAAAAATACACTTTTAATGATAAAAACCCATTTAATGTGACATGTAAATTATGATGATTATATTGGGTTATACGACAGGTCTACTAGTACAATAAGTCAATAACATATAGGCTTCGATCATATTTGGAAGCATTTATGGTTTTGTGATTGCGAAACGGCAAATTATATCATGCACCACGGTGCATGATCAATTATGCACCGCGCGTCCTTTTGTTAAATGAAAAGAAACGGTGTTTGTTTTCCGCTGTTTCGCACACTTTCGCAAAAAGTAACCCTGTTATTCAGTGTCATTTTGTATACACTGCAGTTTCAGTTCAACACAACTACAGTTTCATTTCGGTATAAGTTATAACTATAATTTCATTCGATATTTATAGACTCAAATATGTGAAAATGTTATTTAATTTTATTTTATATACACTATAGTTTCATTAAAACACAACTACATGATCATTTTGATATAATTACAGCTTCATTGTACAATATACACTCAAATATGTGAAATGTTATTCAGTTTCATTTTATATACACTGCAGTTTCATTTCACTATAACTACAGTATCATTTTGATATAACTGCAGTGTCGGTTTAGATATACTGTAGTGTCAGTTGATGTTTAATACACCAAATAAACAGACTCTGTTAACTATAACGGCGAACCGTTTCTTTATTTAAAGAAACGGCGCCGTTTTTTACCGCGGTGCACATGCCCGCCGTCTATGTTATAATGACTGTTGCGAAGCGGATCATTGAGACCAGACACCATCAATAAAACAAGACAATTTTATCGTCACTGCTATAGATATCATATCAATCAATATGCAACGCCCGCCATAAATGACTTGAGCTATTTTTATATGCTGCCACAGTGCCACGTTAGACCTATTAATGGAATATAATTGGCCTGAGCCACTACTATACTACACGTAACCATATCATGCCGATCGACGAGATTTTGACATTATGTTTCATGCTTTGTTGCTGCAAAATGGATCTCAACAGCTAACTTTTAATTTAAATCTTCACGGCAATTTATATCGTGCACCACGGCGCACATAACAATGTGCGTTCAGGCACAAAACCGCGCGTTTAATTTCATGCTGATATCATACTGACGTCACTTCGAACAGACCAAACTCCATTATGTGTATTCAGTTAAAAATTTATGTGTATTGTGTTATGAGTTTATGTGTATTCAGTTAAGAGTTTATATGTGTATTATGTTAACCAAACCCCATTATGTGTATTCAGTCAAAAGTTTATGTGTATTGTGTAATGAATTTATGTGTATCCAGTAAGAGTTTATGTGTATTATGTTAACCAAACCCCATTATGTGTATTCAGTTAAAAGTTTATGTGTATTATGTATTATGTAGATTATGTGTATTCTCTTATGAGTTTATGTGTATTCTATTACGAGTTTATGTGCATTTGAAAAAGAGAATTTTTTTTAACGACATAGCAAAACGGCATCGTTTTGGGAGGCGTAGGGCGAACAGTGCTATGTGCGCCCCGGTGCACGGTATAACGATTGAATCT